TTGAACACTGCTGATTGGCACTCCCAGTTTGATGGATATCCTTTTAAATCCCTTTCCCAGTTTGTACAGTTCAACTACCTTTTCTCGTAGATCCTTCAACAGCTCTTTTGCTTTCCACATTGCTCAGATGAAAGAACCAAGGGTATATCAGGAGCTCAGAAACTCTTTTAGGCACAAACATTGAGTACTAGCATTGAACTAACAAGGAGTGCACAAATGCTTTTGTGGTATTGTACAAATTTGGCAATGTGTGTAAACCTGTGAGCACAACTCTAGGTTTCCCTAAGGGAGTTTCAATATAGTTGATTTTGAAGTACCCGCAAGCGTGGATGAACTGATCAATCGTTAGAGAGTCTTAACAAACCATGCGTGTTAAATAAAAGAACTTAAATAAATAAATATTGAGCTACTACTTGATAAAAACTTGTTTATTTATGTTCAACAAAAGGTTTCGGCTAACTAATTAGTCGTACAATGCTAAACACATCATGTGGCAGATCAACAGTTTCCATCATTGAATGTGTGCTTTGTATCTTTTTGTCATGAAAAATACCGTCCTGCTGCTCCACTTTGTTTATAGTTTGTGAGTGACTTAGCAGCAAGCTGCATTGTGATTGGTCGGACATGAGACAAATCAGAAATATTGACATAAGAACAAATAAAGTTAATGCCGCTGCAAGGTTTCTATGCCGTATGGTTTTTGGAATAAATTGTATGGTAATTCAATTTCTAAAATCTTACACTGATTTAAAGCTTCCAGTGATTTTCCAATTGTTAGTAATACACATCTAGGATGACACTTCAGTAAAAATCCCATATGTCTATCAAAAAATAAGGTAATAAATCAAATTAGGAAAAGAGAGATTTAAGGCTTTCAAAAATCTGATAAAAAAATGATCATCAGATATCTGGGCAGCGGCAAGCTTAAACACTGACATTTCCTTGCCCAGAAAAGGGCCAGAGTGGCAGGTGTCAAAGGCGGTCAGTCTCAGGCTCGGGCCTTAGGGCAGGAAAAGCAGATTCCCGCTCACGCCACAAAACAAGTCTGAAAAGAGCAAGAGCTCACAGTCACTCATGTCAATCTGCTGGCAGATGCAGCACCCATCTCCACTCCCACCCCCCACATCACCGCTTCACCCCTGAGCCACAGAGTGCTTTACATGCAGGGACCAGTAGAGGGGGCTTAAGGTTTGTGACTAATATAAGTGAGGTGTAGCGTTCAACAAAACATGATCACACTGTTAGTAATGCAAATAGAAAGAAATGTATGACCAAAAATAAAAAATACCACTGGTGAAAACAATAAGCTCTTTGGTGTTAAAAGACAAAAGTGAAATAATTTTGGTATAAACAGCCTTTAGTCATTTTCTGTAGCTCTCAGCGAGTCTCCTACATGTCTCCTGATGGCAAGGCAAGTTTGTTTAACAAAGCACAATTCATACACAATTAAGTCCGGGACTTTTAGGGCATTTTATTACTTGACAATTTGCTGAAATAAATTATCTTTAAAACAGTTTTTGTGGCAATGCTTGATTTTGTTTTGTTTTTTTAATACAACCCAAATATCTTTTTTATTTATTTTTCGTTACACAATAATCCCACAACACTCTTGGAATTGTACAAAAGTCCATTTTGAGTGGTAACTTTTTCTACTGCAAAAATTTCAAAAATTGAGAAACAACAGAGATGAGATAAAATAAAACAACCGTGAATTCCCAAAAAAGCAAAGACAAGGTCAAAACAATGTGAAAAAGGCCTTTGGAGATGAAAACATCTCCTAAACACTGTTCCAAGCACTTTATCCCTTCTTTTCACCACTAGATTTGGGATCTACAAAATAAAAACGAAAGACGATTGCACATTTTCTAACATTTTAATTTGAATTAACTTGTGAATAATGTGTCATAACTTCTGTAATGTTCAGTTAAAACCTAAAAATAACAAAACTAAAAACCTATTTGAAACCCAGACATTATATTTGATATCAAAATGAAACAATAGGTGGGTAACTTTATTCCTTTTAACTTCAAAACAGATGCTGCAAACCCATCTGTGCGTGCAGAGACTTTTAAGGGTTAAAGTTTCATGAGTTAAATAATTTTGTTTAAAAAATTTTGTCCCATCTCTGAAAAAAATATGTGAAAAGTTTTTTTTTCTTGTGTCATGGTATCTAAACCTATCTTTCACAACTTGATTGTATTGAAGACAAAACAAATGCATAGACAATGCAACAGTGCTGCTTCTAAAGATGACTATAAGGATCATCCAAAAATTATCAGAGTGCACAAGTATCAAATCTTAATATAAGATTTTTACATCTTTATTTTACTCATTACAATCATAACAAGGAAATCATAACAAGGAATCATTTGAAAAGGAAAAATGGGTGTTTTTCTAATTTCGAACACAAAACAAAGCACAATAGAAAAAAAGTGATTGGAACAGCGTATGAGGATAAGGAAAGGTTCAGGTGTTTTTGACAATATTTTTATATTGTTTTGACCTTGTCTGCTTTTGGGGAGGGGTTTATGAATTTTTATTTTGTCTCAACCCTTTTGCTATAAAACATAAAAACTGTTTGTTCTCAATTTTATTTTATTTTAGCAGTAAAAAATGACAAAATACGCTGAATTGTACTTTTTGTACAATTTTGCGTTTGTTGTGGAATTATTCTGTAATGTTGTAAAAAAAGAACCTGGGGTTCTTTGATAAAAAAAATTATATCAAGCATTGCCACTAAAACAGTTTTAAAGATAAATTATTAGAGCAAATCGCAAGGTAGTCAAAAACACTCAAAAGCGTCCTGCCCTTCTAAAGGAAAATGCAGCTATTTCTTTTCCAAAGGGAATAGGACATTTTTCAAGAAAATCTCAGTCATGAGCATTTAAGAGATTTACCCAGGAAAATCCTAAATCACTTAATGCAGTTCGTAAAATGACATCCCAGAAAGCCCTAATTTCAAAAACAGTTTTATTAGATTTCTTGTTTGTATTTAAATGGTTTCCATGTTTTGATGTAGCGTGTATGTTCCTTTTCTGTACTCCCAATGGTTATAAACCATGACCTAAAACGGCCAAACACAAGTAAATGAGCCGTGAAATGTGCAGCATGTTAAAAGCTACACTGCTTCCAGTTGTTCTGACATCGCAGGAGAGCATTAGATTAGGAATTGACATTCGCGAATTTGGCATCTGGGTTTAAGGCAATGAAAACTTTCAGGCAAAGCTCAGGCTTGATCCCATGCTTGGCTGCCATCAATCAATCAATCAGCACTCAGCAGGGAAAGAGTAAGATTCACAAACACTCTGGAAACCTCATCTTCAACGCTATAAAGTAGTCAGAGGAAGATTTAAAGCTCTTCATAATGACTATTTGATTCACTTTTGTCTACCTTGAAATTAGCTCGTTTTGAGTGACATTGTTTATATTAATGAATTTTGGCTCTTCTTTAGAGCAATAATGAAAATGTTTCATCAGTGTTGCACCAAACTATTCAAATCTTTTATTTATGAGTGGCAGATTCTGGGTTTTACACATGGTTCTAATAAAAAAAAAAAAAGTCACGGTGGTTTTGATGTTTTAAGCTGTTTTTTATTTTCACTAAACCTCAAACTTTTGCATGCTAAATATGGCATTTTCGCTAAAATTTTATAATATATAATCTTATAAAAATTTACAATATTTATCATAACACAATTATGTATGAATGCAAGCATTTATTTATTCGACCTATGATGTACTCAATAAATTAGCTGATAAATTAATACAACACTAAAAACGCAAAAATGAATGTAAGTTATTAACATCTAAAAAGGTTTTTAAAGAATGGTGTGAATCACCAATTGTTTATTTCAAATATATTATGTAGGTTTCAAAGAGGTTCGTTCATTTTCCAATCCGCTTATTCCCTTTCGGGGACACGGGTGTCTGCCGGTGTCTATCTCCAGCACACATTGGGCAAGAGGCGGGGGTACACCATGGACAGGTCGCCAGTCCATCACAGGGCAACATTCACTCACACACTCACACCTAAGGAGAATTTAGATTATTCCGTTAACCTAATCGCATGTTTTTGGGATTGTGGGGGAAACCGGAGTACCCGGAGGAAACCCACGCAAGCATGGGGAGAACATGCAAACTGCTTCCAGGAAGATCACCGGCGAGCCTTGAACCGACAACCTTCAAACTGGAAGGCCACAGTTCTACCCACCGTGCCGCCTTTCAAAGAGGTTATAAGTTTATAAATTATTTGTGTTAAACGAACATTACAAGAGTTATCGCCGCTAATTTGCAAGGTTTTTCAAATTAAAATGTGAGAAAATACACTTCATTTTCCCCAAATCGTTGCCAAGAGTTGCCACCTAGAGGTTAAAGAAGGGATAACACTTTGAAGTACAAGATCTGTGTTATGTTGAAAAAGTGCTTTTTCCTTATTCTCAATTTTCATGTTGTTTCGACCGGGCCTTTATTCAATTTATGAATTTTTATTTTGTCACCTTTTTATTTTTGAAATAAAACATGAAACTGTCCGAACTCAATTTTTGTTGTAAAGCAATGACAAAATGTAATACTCAGAATTGAAGGCTGTACGAGGCAAACATTTTGATACGTTTCGGAGCAGCCAGACAAGAGATACTGGTTCTGGCTGTCCTTTGTGATCCGGACTTTAGCTGTAGGTGTTTTAATTCCTCCCTCACTGTCCTAATCACCCTACCCAGAATCCTCCCCGGAGGAAAAAAAACTCAAGTCATCCAAGAGCTTCTAGCAAAGAGTGACTTGACTTCACCAGGAGGAAGCTGCTTGTAAAGGCCATGCATTATATACAAATACTGTACATTATATTATACATGGACAATCATATATGTAAGTATGTTTGTAATTTCATTTATATTATTATTATACCACTTGTTATGACGGATGTTTACATTTGCATTTAACCAATTAGCAGACTTACATTTGAAACAATTAACACTTCCTTTTTTTTGAACCCATGGAATTTGGGACACATTTGGGATTTGAACCCATGACCTTTGCGTTGTTAGCGCAATGCTCTACCAACTGAGCCACAGGAAAGCATCTTTTTGACAATCTGCTTCATAATGAGATGTAGTTCAAACTATTTACAATTTAAATCCCTGAGGTGTATAACAGAGCACAATTATTTGTGAGGAAAAAGCTATTAAAATGTATAAAACGCTAATAATGATGCATATTAATTTAGAAGCCTTTCTAGACACTCAATGACACACACAGCATTTTAAAACAAGACAAAAAAAAGAAAAACACAGATAAACAACAAAACACCGAAACGTCAAGATGGAACCACTAGCTAAAAAGGTCTCACGAAAATTAACGAATGGCATGGACGAAGCGTCAGTGACATCACCCATTGGATTCTGTCAAAGTGAAACGAAGATAAAAGTGGGCGTCGCCAGCAATTGCCTTCGTGAAAGTCCGTCACTTCCCGGTAATCAGGGGGCAGGAACCACACACTCGATGGTCGAAAACCACAACGCAAAAAAGAAACAATCGACAGTAAAATCTGAAAACGAAAAAACACAAGGAGTAGCGAAGTTCTTCAGATTAAATTAGCTGGAATGAAAGACGTGACAGGCTGAAAGAACTGCATGCCAAGAAACAACACTCTTAAAAAGGGCTTAAAAAAAATCTTAAACCAACATTTGTTTTATTTAAATCCACCCCCTCAGAGTGTTCATGAAGGTCAAATCTAGACTTGAAATCAATAAAACTATTGGAGCCAGGAGTGGAAATATGAGGGGGTTTTTTTACCTCGAAAGTTGGCAATTTTAACATGGGAGTGACTGAGAACCTGCTCTGTTTTGGAGCCAGCCTCTAGCGGCAGGTGGAGGAATTACAGTTAAAGTCACTTCCTGTTAGGCTTTAAGAGGGAAAGTGCTCACGAATCACTTGTAAAGTGAAAAGCGTGTTATATCAAAGCGAGTTGGGAGCTCTTTCCAAAGATTGGAAATGGCTCTTTCGCTTTTATTACTTCACACATTGTAAGTTTCACCCCACCTCAATCCTTTTCGTATTGGATCATCTCTGTGAATTTTGATAGATGCCAATAGCCATGTTTCCATCCAAAGGTGTGAATTAAATTTATCCGCTAAATGGAATGTCACATAGAACATTTGTGAATGAAGTACCGTTTCCATCCAACGAGTACAAGACAACAAAATCCCATTTCCTGATAAACTGGCTCCAAATGTCAAAAGAAAAATGGAAGTTGCTGCATTAGAAGGTCTTTTTTTCTATACAATAACTAAGAACACGTAAACGAAACGCACTATGCGCGTCATCTTGATTTTAGAGGCAGGAGATGCTCTTTGGGAACGGAGCCTGTCAAGACCATTCTGGAAGGAAATAATCCAAAACCACTTGATTGATGATTTCAGGAATTTTAGAAAGATCATAGCAACATTTCAGATGTCCATTAACGCTTTGATCTTGCATTGGGATTTATTCAATAAAAGGGTTACCATTGTAGTTTGTGCGCTTTTTCTCATCGGATAAAAAGCTCATTCGACCCAGTTGTGCGCATTATGCTCTTTCCCAAAATGCATTTCCATCCAGGGTTTTTTTCATGTGATATTCCAAAAATGCGCACAAAAATAGCTATTGCCCATTACAGAGTAAAAGCTACAAATCTGTGGTAATATTTAGCATCAGCAAAAGTGTAATGAAGAAGATGAAGCTACAGAGAAAACCGCAGCGAGCTCCTGAAATAGTGTGAGACTAATGCTCAGTGACTGGCCGGCTGGTGGCACAGTGTCAGCCCGAGGGGCGACGACTGGTCACTGCTGCCGTTTCCTTCCGGAACAAGTGACAAAGCTGTCCAGCCTGTCTGTAGCCATAGCTCAGTGTCAGGATCACGGTCTTAATGCTCGGCAACACTACAGGCTCCCTCGTTAAGAAAGATTGATGTCATTTAGTTCTTCAGGGGTGAGAGGCAAAGTCACGGCCGAGAAGTAGCCACTCACTAGACTCCGAGCAACAGCTTTTCCATTAAAATTATAAATATTACAATTACCAAACAGGGCTCTAGAGTGCGACCAATTTGGTCGCATATGCGACCTAATTTCTCAATGGTGCGACTAAAAAAAATCAAAGGTTGCACCGGTGCGACCCGTCGTTCGAGGGGGAAAAAAAACGAAACTCCGTCTACGGCCGGTCCGCCTCCTGCGCGCGGCTCACAACACGCGTATCACCCATTCATGCGGCTCAATACGCGCCTATCGCGGCAAGCGCGCCGCTCAATTCGCGTTTACCGCGCCGCTGAAGCCTCAGACGCGCGCAAACGCGTCTTTGCATTGACTTAACATGGAAACCCTCCGCGCTTACCGCGCGAACCGCGTTCGATGTGAACGTACCTTTACAGCGGCAGGCAGCTGCAAACAGATCATCAGACGAGGCCGAGATGATAATTAAGTTTAACGTTGCCTACAATATTGCAAAAGAAGAACTCCCTTCACTAAATTCAAGTCCGAAATAATTCTTATGAAGAAAAATGGCTTGAACGTAAACCCGACGTACAGCAATGATGTCGCGCACACCCAATTTATAGGAGTCATCGCAGATACATTGAAAAAAAAAGACATCTGTGCAAATTGCGAACAGTGCGTACATGGAATTCCTGATCGACGGAGACACATATATCGCCACAAAGGAATTCGTCATTGTGTACAGTCGTATCTTGCGGAGAGGAAGACCGGTGAATATATTATTGAACACAGTGAGGTCGAGCACGCTCATGCCCAAGGTAAGCCATGTCATGTCATGGAGCCTATGTCAATAATATGCCTACCGTCTCGTTACTGCATTAACCATAATATTCTGATACTTAAAAATAAAAAATAAATAAATAGGCTGCATTATAAACTCTTGATCTGGGTAGTAAATGGTATTATCGTTTTTATTTGTATTTGCTGCTCTTGGGAACCAAAATCAGTTTAAAGTTTAAATTTCAGCTCAGTAAAGCACTTTAAACACCTTTTCAGTAATTTTAGTTACCTTTCTTGTGGAATTGTGCTTCAAATAAAGAACTTTATTTTGACCAGGTTGTTAGTTAATCATTTACAAGTCAATATTGTCTATGGACAGTGATTTAAAAAAATTAATAAATAGAGAACTAAAAAAAGTGAACTTGTGAAAATGCGGTGTTAAATGTGATGCAGTTGAAAATTTGGGTGCACCTAACTTTTGTGCTGGTGCACCTAAGAAAAAAATTTAGGCGCACCAGTGCAACCAGTGCAAAAAAGTTAGTCT